GGTTAGAGAGTCTGAGATCTGTGACATCACTAATAAAACTGTTCCTTTCTCACCAAAATCAGAATCACAGATTATATGGTACAGCACAGAAGCAGACTATTCAGCCCATTGTCTCTATACTGGGACATTCTATTATGCATCAGTTCTGCAGTAATTGTGGGGAACGTGAACTTCGTCCACTCATTGTCAGTGTCGAGATGGAAAGGACAATTTGACATTAGTTCTGTAGGCACTTGACTTTTAGTAATGATAGTGGCAGTTTTGATATGTTTCCCACACTCTCAGGGAGAGTATATGGATCTCATTCTCCTAACTTCAGTTGTGTTTGTGTCTGAATAGTAAACTCTGTAAATAAACTCTTTTCAATGACACTTAATTGCATTGCATTTCAGTCTCAGTTTGTTTTTACTTTGTGTGTGAGGTTGAGTGTGTAGTAGAATTTATCTGTCACTACTGGGCACTATAATTATCCAACATCCTCAGCTGTGATCAGTGATTTTGAGAGTCAATTCATATCTGGAAATTACTGTGAGGCCAAATTTCATTCTTTTCCTTTCAGCATCCACTGGCTGTGTGCGAGTGAGTTTTCCCTTGTGCTGCCAGTCTGTATCTCAGTTCACGTCTCCTGTAGTTAAAGGAATCAGTGAAGTTCTTCAATTGTTGGTGCCTGTGGGAATTACGTGCAAGTGAAAGGCAACACACTGCTACAGAAAGGATTCTGTGCTGTTCCACAGAGCGGAGACAGGAAACACAATAGGCCTTTGTAACACATATAGTGCAGAGTCTAACAGGGAGTAATGATATAAAGTGTTGGTCTTCAGAATACCATCAGTTTCTTTGTCAGTGTGTAGTGATATGCCTTTCTGAAAACTGCTGAAGTAGCAATCAATGTAAACTGAATCCATTTGCAACTAAGTGAAAGGGCAATAAACAATTCAACTGCATTGCAGCTGACTGACCACAGTGTTGCTTGTACAGAAAAGACAATTGGCTAATTTATTTTCAGATGTAGACAGGACATTACCCTGCTCTGTGCTGTGATGGTGCAAGCAATTAGTGGTACTCTTGTGTTGCTCTATGGTAGCAAAGTGGAAAGGAAAAGGAATTTTATTTTCTGTCATGCAGTGCAGAATATTTAAACTGTCAAACTCAATTATTGAACAATTAACCCTGTTCAACTCTGCATTGGAACAAAATGAGCAGTTTCACAAATCTACCAATTTTGTCTATTTTTTTCTTTCTCCACGGCTTTGAAGGGTGACAACTTGATTACGTTGATTCATTGTGCAAATTGTATTCAGATTTCTTTTTTTCTGCAGTACATCTTAGGGAGGGCCAGGAGCAATGCCAGGCTCTTTGTAGAAAATTGAGACCAATTTTGAAAGAAGTACACTATTATAAATAAAACTATTCTTGAAAGGTGGAGAAATGGAGAAAGATGTTATGATGAAAGTGGGGATGGCAGGTCCTCTGCAGCTAGGATACATTTATGCAAATAAAGTGCTGGCTGAATAGGATGAGAATTGTGTTTGTTTTTGATCCGTGCAGACTCAATAATTTGAAGGGCTTATTCTGTGCTGTAGACTTCTCTGACAATGGATCTGTGAGTAAAAATCATTCCAAATGGAACATATTTTGTTACTTGCAATGTCTATGGAACTGCATGGTTGTTATATGTTGGAATGTGTGTTGGGATTGTGTGTGTATTCGACAGAGAGAGCAAGTGTGTGCAGGTACATTAATGATTCTCTGTGTCAGGTTTTGGGACAGAATGTGCATTTGGAATTCACATTATTTAATTGTTGTATGTGACAAATACTTAGCAAAATGTTACTGCTGTCCTTCTCTGTCACTGCTCATTGAATGTTTGTTTCAATATCTGTACTCAATATGTAGTTCCCATGTGGTTGTTCAAACTTACAGCATCATCGATTTCTTCACACTGACTGTAACTCTAAAAGTACCCTTACTAAATGCAGGTGTAATGCAGTTCTAGAGTGTATATTTTGGATGAGGATTCAGTCTCTCCATCCTCATAAGTTTTTGAGAATGTGAATGGTGAAATTGTTTGGAACTGGGTGACGTGAATGTAGAAAATAGATATAAACTGGTATTTCCTCGGTGGTGTTTGACCCTCAGTTTGAATGTATCTCTCCGGAAATTGTGTTCAATGTATGTTTGATTCAATCTGCTGTCACTATACGTTCTATGCTCTGTCAGTGTAACATACCTGGTGGTTGTTAGAAGCCACTGGTCACACTTGGCTTTGTACTGAGGAAATATTACATTGTCTTGGTCTTTCAAGTATTTGCCTGGAGGAAGACAGAAGGGATACCCCCTGTAAATCAACATCAGCCAATATTGGCAATATCAAACTGAACAATGTAACATTCAGTTAATAACCATTTGGATTGTTTCTTTCAAGCCAGCAATTTGAACACAACCAGGGGTCTGATTCCACTCATGCCCTGAGCTGCTCCTTGTCTGTTTTTCCTTAAAATTCTGTACCAATTGAGTGAGATCTAGAAAGTAAACAACATCTGTACAACTCCATGGATGCAAGTGGGTTTGTGGATATATGAGTTTCGTTATCGATCTATACCTGTCAATTCCTGCTTGTTGAACGTGTCAGTATAGTTCTCAATATGTACCTGTCAGCATACGCTATGTTAATTTTTTTTAATTAATAGATTTATTGTCACATGCAGTGAAATACCGTGAAAACCTCTGTTTATGAGCAGTACTGGCAGATCATGTTAAGTAAGAAGGTACAGATAAAAATATCTTAAGACAGAGGCATGCAGGTTACATGGACGGAGCGTGCATGAGGAGAGATCAACGTTACCAAAATTGTCATTATTTGAGGCTAAAGAGTCCATTCATCAATCTAATCATGGCAAGGAAGAAGCTGTCCTTGAACCTGCTCGTGCGTGTGTTTAGGCTTCTGTATCTTCTGCCTGACGGAAGCGGGTATAGGAGATCATTCATCCCTGGAACATCTGGATGACAAAGACACCTACGTTAGACTCCTGGTCATTGGCTACATCTCCGCCGTCAACACCATTGTCCTGTACCGACTGATCTCAAAACTCTGTGACCTTGGTCTTGGCTAGGCCCACTGCAACCAGATCCTCAACTTTCTGACCCATAGACTGTAATCAGTAAAGATAGACAACTGCATCTCCTCTACAATTACACGACACCAGAGCGCTCCTCCCAAACCCCACCCTCAAGGATATGTCCTCAGCACCCTACTGTACTCACTGTACACTCAAACCTGGTGCCAAATTCCAACTGAACACCATCAACAAGTTCGCTGATGACACCAGTGTAGTAGGATGGATATCTAACAACCAGGAGTCAAAACCCAGAAGGGAGATAGAGGGCTTGGTGACATGGTACAATGAAGGCAATCACTCTCTCAGTGTCGGAAAAACTAAAGAACTGATCATTGACTTCAGAAAGAAAGGAGAAGAACACATCCCCATCTACATCAATGGAACTGAGGTTGACAGGGTGGAGAGCACCAAGTTCATCAGAGTGACAATAACTAACAACCTGCCCTGGACTTCCCACGTAGATGCAACAGTCAAGAAG